TCCAGGTTCTAAAAGAAATTTGATACTATCCTAGGAGAACATAAAAATTGTAGGTAGTTCTTGTTGCCCAGTAATTCCTAATACTGTGCGCGTGTGTGGGCGCGCGCCTGCACACACGCGCCCACCAGTTAGCCCTGAAAATTTAATCCCTCTCCCGAAGGTAAGACTTCAGTCTGGTTCATCTGGGTACTTCCCAGATGCCTAACCTGCTATAGTCACCCAGTGCTGTCATCATAAAATATACATTTACATGGTGAGATCTTCTCATGACAAATACTTCTTGTCCTCTGAGTCCTGATCTGAAGTTCACTTTTCCAGTCAGTCAAATTGTCCATTTTATCATTGATCTTCAGCATGGCCCTGTCGGGACAGAGCAGTTGTCATGACACTAAGTTCTCTGTGTCCACGGAGCTGGGAGTAAAGGTCTTGAGTTGATGTTATCTGTGTAGTCGTCTCCCTAGAGCGGCCTCTCCTGCTCCATGAAGTGGATGGCATCTTGTTTAACTCGGTAGCAAATCTGTCTCTCCCATGGCTGAGAAGCCACGAGGACAGCAGGAAGATGTTCCAGCAGTTTGGCTTGGTTTGGTTTTTCATGCCTTGGGGAAGAGTCACACTCTCTGTTTGGATTTCTTTCTTGAGAAGTGAACTGCAGGCACTGAGACTCCAAGGCGAGTTCTGGAAAAGAGGAGGGATGCCATTGGTAGCTCTGGGCAGCACTCCAGCCTTCACTAGAGTCAGTCTTCGAGCTGTGTGGTCATCCGCCGGGAAAACTGCTTTGGCAAAGTCTAGATCCATCCGAAGGGACTGAGCTGTGCGGGAAAGCAGCTGGGGATCCAGCCGGCAGTGCTGAGTGTCGTAACATTGTCTAACTCAGAAAGGCAAGCAGCATTTTAGCTGTGCCTCTGGTTGTTCAAAGTGGTGTGTGTGTGTGCACTTTCCCACTGCCAGTCCTGTTCTGAGGGGACTGGGATAGAGGACTGACATGATACATCTTCCATGTGTTCGTTCTTGAAATGTTCTCCATTCCCTGTTTACAAGAGAGTATTTCTGTAAGAGGCCTTCCAGACTGCCTGGTCCCCTGCCTCACGTAAAACCCACCCCACGTGGCAGCCAACATTATTGTGTTCAAAACACACCTTGAGTATGGCCCTCCATTTCTCTGTACGTCTGGTATTTGTTGATCCTGTAAATTAAAATTCTAATGCCTCACCCTGGAGCTCCTAGTTCTCTGGCCTGATTTCACCCCTCACTGCAACCCTGCCCTGTAGTCTTACCTTATAATTTAAATGTGAAATCTCTCCCACAGGTACATGTGATTGGACACTAGGTCTCCAGCTGGTTGTGGCAGTTTGGGAGGCTTTTCAACCTTTGAAAGTTGGGACCTAGATGGGGACGTGGGGAATAAGCTTTCAGGCTGCCACTTCCAGCCTGAGCTCTCTACTTCCTGATTGGCCCTGTGAGCAAGCAGCCGTGCTCTTCCCAACCATGCACTCTGCATGGCTTCCCCAGCAGGGTGACTCTCTCCTCTCAAACTGAGCCGAATAGAGCCTTCATCCTTTACGTAGTCTCCGCCAGATGATCTGCCTCCGCACTCTGTGCACATGGTTTGTTCATTTCGTCTTCTGTGCTTTGTGTAACTGTTCCTTCTACGCAAGATGAGTCCAGCATTAGCCAGAATCTACCAAAGTTTGTGTTGGGTCGAAAGAAGACCATTAGCTATCTCTAGGGCTGATCAACTTTTCTGTCTTAGTTATGATAAAATACCATGAGCAAGACAACTTATACAGAGAGCATTAAGTGCTCACAGTTCTGGAGGGATAAGAGCCCAGGATGGCAGAGCAAAAGCATGGCACAGGGCACAACTAAAGCTCACCTGAAGTGACATACTTCCTCCAGCAAGGCCATGCCTCCTAACCCTCCCCAAACAGCCAGCAGCTAGGGACCAACTCTTCAAATGCCTGAGCCTGACGGGGGACACCTCATTCCGACTACCCGCCACTGAGACCATCCATCTTACCTGCCCATAATCGTCAACTTAATTAAACTCTTGACTTTGGTGGAATAGGATCCATTTTCTTTTCTTTTTTAGGTTTGTTTATTTTTAGTTTATGTGTATAAACACTTACGTATGTGTATATGTGTAAACCACATACATGTTCTGTCCATGTAGGCCAGATCTCTTGGAGCTGAAGTTAAAGATGGTTGTGAGCCTCTGTGCAGGTGACGGGAACCAAGCACAGGGCCTCTTCAAGAGCAGCAGGTGCTCTTAAGCAGTGAGCCATCTATCAGTCCGGGGGTATCTATCTCACGGAACTCTGGTGGTGGCAGCATTTCCTTGTTGCAAAGCAACGGTGAATGCAAGACAATGAGGGTGTGGCTATCGTTTTCCTGATTCTGCTGATCAAATGCTCAGGGGGTGAAGGAAAGACATTTTTAAAAGGGAAGAAAGACATAGCAAACATGACATTTTGAAAGGCTAATTGAGTATGGACAAACATATTGAGGTGATGTCCTGTTATTGTCAGAAATAATGTTTTACAGAACAGCTATTTGTGGAGAGACCAATGATTACTGACAGACTAATGTGCACTCAGGAATATGGAAGCGATAAGGCAAAGTACAGTGCCTGCAGAAAGATGTCAGTCAAAGCCAAAGAGCAAAACTAAACACCTTCTGATCTGACCCTACCTACAGAATTTGACCTGTAGACCTATGTTATTTGGGGTCATCAAAAGTGACCTTGAAATGGCCTGCTGAGCATTCTGCCCCTGCAATGTGGTCTCGTGTTTGCTATTCAAGTCAAAGAATCAGAACAAGCTTCTGAGTCAGGGAACATATGTCTCAAGTTTTGAAATGCCATTCTGATTCCATCTTCTGTAACCTCAGAACCCAGTGAATAATCCTATAATCCCAATATTTCATCATCCAAACTACATTCTGCTCACTCCCATCAGCCCATTGAAATGTGACAGAATTCTCAGCTCAGATGGTGAGTTGCGGTTTTGAAATCAGGAAATAGGATCATGAGCCCTATGGAGCCAGTGTGGACAGTGGGAGAAAGAGTCCAATCAGGATCATCCCATTTTGTTCCAAAGTGTTATATTTAATGCAAAATAAAATTGTCTAAGAGGAACATGAATGGGTGGTGAGAAATAAGGCAGGGGGAAAAAAACCGAGTAATGAAATTTTGGGAGGGATGAGATTCAAGTTAGCTAGGAGTTTCCACAAATGAGGTTGGCTGTTTGGTGAAGTCTGTTCTTAGGAGCTTGCTGGGCAGTCTGGTGATGTTGTAGGCATTGTGCTTCGGGAGGTGGCTCAGAGAGACAAGAAAACACACATGTGCTTGGGTCTCCAGAACCACAGCTACCAGGGGAGGCCCGGAGCTCAAGCCCTTGTTTTCCACGAGACTGGGCCAAGAAAACAGTTCTTTGGGGGAGGGGTTGCTGTGTCTTGTGGAGGTAGGGTCTACCATGTGGAACAGACTCAGGTTTAAATGGGTGTTTACTGTGGTTCTAGTGAGATTCAAGAAACTCCCAGCATGGAACATCCATGACCCTCCATAATCCCCGGTGGAGGAGCATTAAAAAACTTCTCTGTCCAAAATTATATAAATATCAAGCCCTGCCTCCTTCCTACTCATTTTCTCCTGATCAAATACTTCAGCCAAATGTACTATTGAGTTGTCTTGTCTGCTTTGTGGGCCCTGCCCAGCCCCTGGAGTATACAGTCCATGAGTAGCTGAAGGAAAGGCCCGGCCTGGAGTGGTGTGGTGTACAGACCTGTTGAACGAGAGCATGCAGGAACTGAAGAAGTGCTGTGTGCATGCGTCTACTCACTTACAAGTGGGTACTAGACATATAATAAAGATAAACATACTAAAATCTGAACTCCTGAAGAAGCTAGGCAAAAAGGAGGACCCTGGGTAAGATGCTCAATCCTCACTCAGAAAGGCAAAGGGGATGGACATTAGAAGAGGGAGAAATAGGGAACAGGACAGGAGCCTACCACAGCGGGTAGAAAGACTCTACCCAACAGGATATCAAAGCAGATGCTGAGACTCATAGCCAAACTTTGGGCAGAGTGCAGGGAATCTTATGAAAAAAGGGGGAGATAGAAAGACCCAGAGAGGACAGGAGCTCCACAAGGAGAGCAACAGAACCAAAAAATCTGAGCACAGGGGTCTTTTCTGAGACTGATACTCCAACCAAGGACTATGCATGGAGATAACCTAGAACCCCTGCTTAGCTGTAGTCCATGACATCTCAGTGTCCAAGTGGTTTCCCTAGTAAGGGGAACAGGGACTGTCTCTGACATGAACTCAGTGGCTGGCTCTTTAATCACCTCCCCCCTGAGGGGATAGCAGCCTTACCAGACCACAGAGGAAGACAAGCCAGTCCTGATGAGACCTGATAGGCTAGGGTCCTCCCCTATCAATGGACTTGGAGAGGGGAATGGGAGGAGAAGAGGGAGGGAGGGAGGATGGGATTGGGAGGAGATGAGGGAGGAGGCTACAGCTGGAATACAGAGTGAACAAAGTGTAATTAATAAAAAATAAATAAATTTTTAAAACGGTGTGTGTGTGCTCGTGCACGCACATGTGGGTGTGTAAGCGTACAACTTACGTGTGCCTGTGGAGGTCCGAGGCTCTTTTCCTCTAGTGCTCTCCATCTTAGTTTTGGGGTGTCTTGCAGAAACTGTTCCTCACTGGCTGGCTAGACTACGAGCCCCAGGAGTGGCCATTCTCTCTCTCCCAGTGTTGGAGTGTAGGCCCTTAGGACCACACCTGGACTTTTACGTGGATGCTGGCCTCCAAGCTCAACACCCCGTGTTTGTACAGCAAGTGCTTTGGCACAGGGAGCCATTTCCTGAGCCTCGGGAGTAGGTCAGCAGGAAGGGCAGGCTGAGCCCCCCCGCCCCCGAAGACCTGCTGCCGCCCCTTCCAGCTCCTTCCTTCTAGAGGTCCTGACCTGTGCTACAGAAGCTTTTCTGTGTTTTTGCAGAGCATTGGCTGTGACGACTTCCTGGGATCCGACAAAGTTGTGGACAAGTGTGGGGTGTGTGGAGGTGACAACTCGGGCTGCCAGGTGGTGTCCGGAGTGTTCAAGCACGCCTTCACCAGCCTGGGCTACCACCGCGTGGTAGAGATTCCCCAGGGAGCCACCAAAATTAACATCACAGAGATGCACAAGAGCAACAACTATTTAGGTGAGTTCATTTATCTTTTTCTCACACACACACACACACACACACACACACACACACACACACGAGACTGTCTTTGAAGCTGATGAATTCTTTCCAGGACAACGAGGTGAACACAGTGGTGGCCAATTGTCCAAGGACATTACAGAACATGCCGTTGGGGTCTTCCTGACCAGCACTTTGGGCTGGAGTTGGGGTGGGGGATTCTTCTAAGAACTAAATGGTTAATGTCTATCCACTTAAACCAGGCTTTCCTCTTCTCAAGAAAGATGTGGTCATGAAATGGCCAACCGACTCTTCTGAGCTGGGAGGGGCTTTTTGTCAAGCAGGGAGGGCTGCTAGGCTTTGTTCTCTTGGGGCGTGGAATGGGCAGCTATGATTCCTCCCAGACTTTTACTCCCCGGAGGTCCAAAGCAGAAGCAACCCTTGCCGTCTCCCTGCTTCATAGATGGGGCAGCAGGCCTGTGCCTGTCTCAGAAGTGCTGCCCAGCCCTCGGCAGTGGTCTCAGCCAGTGCTGTCTGCATTTAACCCATGACCCTGCAGGCGAGAGCCTTGCTGGTGCTTTATTCTGGACATCTGGGTTATTTGCTTTCCTTCCATTATGCAGCAGTCACAAAAACAAGCACTTACCAATTTCTAATTCAAATAAGCATGTGCAAATCAGTTAAGCAGATATATAAGAGATCTTTTTTCGTTTTTTTTGTTTGTTTGTTTTGTTTTGTTTTGTTTTTTGAGACAGGGTCATGTTCTGTAGCCCAAGCTGGCCTGGAAACCATAATATAAATCCAGACCGACCTTCCTTCTACATGCTGGGATTATAGTCGTAAACCACCAAGCCTGGCCCAGGGCATCATTTCTTCAAGGCATTTAATGGATAGCAATAAACATTTTGTTTTTAATTACTTATTGAACAGGAACTTGTCTAGAACAAATTATGTGTCAAGCAGTATATTTGCGGCTTTTCCTGTGTACAGTCCTGGAACGCTGTAAATAGCCTAGAGCCTACAAGCTATTCCCAGGTTTGTTTTACAGATAAAAGAGATATATGGAGATTATAGACGTTGCCAAGGTCACACGGCAAGGAAGAGGCAGAGCTGGGAAGCAAGCTGGGGTGTGTCGCTCTAGGCATGGAATTCTGGCGAGATATAATACCCAGAAACTTCCTCTGTTGTACCTCATGTGGCAGTGTCACCAGAGTTTTTGAAATACCATCCATTTTGTAGCGATATGTATATGTGTATATGTACATATGTGTACATGGTTACACATACCTGTGAAGGCCAGAGGCCAGCCTCAGGTGTCATTCCTCAGGTGCCAGTCTGCTTGCTTCTGAGCTCCTCAGCCTGAAGCTTGAGTAAGCTGGACTAATTGGCCAGTAAGCCATGGGGATGTGCCTGTCTCTCTGTCCTTAGCCCGGGGGCTACAGCAGAGCACTGCGGCTACTTTTCTTTGCACACTCTAAGAACCTCGGGTCCTATAGTTTGCCCAGCAGGCACGTCACAACTGAGCCATCTCTCCAGCTATCACTTCACAATTGTCCCTTCCCTGCCCACTCTGATGCAGCCCAAATCAACTTGGCTTGGTTTGAATCTCTAGAAGACAAAGGGTGACAGATGGGTCTCTGAGACAGACCCAATTAAAGCAGAAAACGGCTACATCTTCTCTGGTAAATGCAGGAGCCACCAAAGTGGCAGAGAGCCTGGTTTCCCTCTGAGCAATTTGTGTTATTTTAAATCTCGAATAATGATCTCTGTGTGTTTCCGCCTTTTTCTGATGCTTTTACAAGATCACATCTCCACACACATCCTGCTGCCTACAGTGGAAAATGTTCCTTGGGGGTTGTTTGAAGCGTGATTGTATTTAAACATGCTGGCAAACAATGCCAGTTTTTATTAGCTTTATGTTGTTTTCAGCAAGCGTTCCCTGGCTCTCAGGGGCCCCATTTGGTAATCAGTTTCAGACTCCTTCAACAAACGGTGGGTATTGTGAGTGAGCATGCACACGGCGTCTGGACAGAGCGTGTGGAGCCTGCCTCTTCCCGTCTAAAATATGGGATCTTGTCAGAACACCCAGCAGATAGTTCAGGGAAGGCCTCTGGCGCTTACTTATGGGTGGCTCACGGTGCCTCCTCCCTTCCTTTTGTCTCAGAGTTCGTCAAGGTAGAAAACTTAACATGGAGCACAGCTGGGAGATGGCTCAGGATAAAATGCTTGGTGTCCAAGAATGGGGACTAGAGTTCATATCCCTGAAACCCATGCCAAGAGGCGTGTTGTCCCAGCTCTGTAATCCAACCTGAATCGCAGGACTCAGTCAGGTCCAGAGACCAAGCCCTGTGGCAAGCTAACTAGACTGGTCACTCAATGCGCTCCACGTTCCAAGTTCAACAAGAGGCCCTGCCTCAGTAAATAAAAGAGATGACCAATGTCAGACTCTGCCGTCTATATGCACACAGCCCCATGCATGTAAACATGCATACATACATACATATATATACACTAATATACATATACATGTACATATACACACAGACACACACACGTGGAATAAAAACCTCCACTTCCCATAAGAAAGGTGAAGAGAAAGCAGATGGAGAAGTAGCAAGAGTCAATGGGAGAGGACTCAGGAAGTCGTTTGACTCCCTATGCCCAGAATCCAGCTGGTCCATGAGAAAGGCAGCATTCACGACAGGTCACATGATGTGTGTCAGCAAGGAGAGGGCAGCAGAGGCAAGCTTCGAGGAAGGCGTCTCCAGGAATGAGGAACACAAGCTTCCAACCATAGCGCTTAAGTCACCTGGAACAGTCTAGATTTTCTTTCTCTTTTTAAAAATCAGGATACAATTCACATACCATAAGCCTCACCCTTAACAGTACAGTGAGTGGAGTGGTCTTTTATGTTTTTTTAATCCCAGGCCTTTATCTAACCTCAGCTGTTCAGCTCCTGCTCCATGGAGACCATGAGAGTTTGCATGAGGTTGCCTGAGGTTCACACACAACCTCAGCACGTAGACACAGCTATGGTTTCTAAACTGCAAGGCCATGTTTTCATTAACCATTGTCAGACAGTGAAACACCTTCCAAAGAGTCACCTGCTGCACTTGCCTCAAGATTTGGTGGGCCAGTGAGAGAGCTCACGAGATAAAAGTTCTTGCCTGATGACCTGAGTTGGACCCCCAAGACCCACAGGGTGGAAAGAGAATCAACTCTCTCAAGTTGTCCTCCGACCTCCACACATGCACTGTGGCACATGTTTTGCCTGTGTGTATATCTGTCATGACTTACATGCCTGGTGATGTCTGGTGACCCAGGAGGCCAGAAGAGGGCACTGAATCTCCTCAACAGTTGTGAATGTGGATTCTGTGAATCCAACCCAGGTCCTCTGGGAAAGCAGCCAGTGCTCTTCACCCTGAGTCATCTTTCCAGCCCATAATCGTTTACTAATTTTATTTTTTTTCAGAAAGGATTTTAGAGGTACTCACTAACAGTACAATTTTAAAATTAGAGTTTGAAAATTGAACAAAATTTTTTGAGACATTTCATCATAGCACGCAGATTGATCTCAGACTTGAAATCCTTCCGCTTCAGGCAACAGGTGCTGGGTTTAAAAGCCTGTAACATCATTTCCAACTCTGAAAATTAAAATTGTAAAACAAAAGCTAAATAGAAGGGGGGCCATGTGTGCCAACAGGCCTTAGCTGACACATTAGCCATAGTGCATTCAGCTGAACCTGGGCTTTTCCAGCAAGACCAGCCTGCTGGCCCCTGCCTTTCCGTAGCTCATGGGAGCGCTGGCTCCATGGAGCTGGGGTGCGGGCCGCCTCCAGTGAGCGACAATGACAAAACTGGGACGATCAACAATGCACACACACCATGAGAAAGGACACAGCTCTTCTCATTTCAAGTCGTAAAACCGAGGACACTCCAAGAGTGGGCTTCAATGTTTTAAAAGTTGTACAGTAGCAATTGCTTATGTCCTTCAAAGCTTAGCCTATTAGTCAGCTCTCGGGTCTAATTGGAAAGACCTAATTGGGAAGATGTTAGAACTGCCGTCTGTTGTTAAGCTATGAAGTCTCCTTTCGGGTGTGACTTATCCTCAGACTTGCTTTTTGAAGAAAAATCATTGGATCCAATGTTATTAAAATGACTGGCAGTTTGTATTACTTACTTCTCCCTTAATTAGATGTTGTAAAATCATTTTAGCTGAAATATCAAAGTTTGGCCCAGTTGAATCAACTCTGTTTAATAATGCCGTTATGCAACAGTTCCGATAGCAGACATAAAGGCACACAGGCAAAAACCAATCGTTCCGGACGTGTCTGACCTGCCAACAGGACACCATCGATGGCTGCAGACTTGGAAGGCGTTCTTGAAGATCTGTCAGATTTCAAAACACGAACTGGCAATACAGTTCCCTTGAAACATGCTCTCAGGAAAGTTTAAAATCATAATAACTGGCCCTGGAGAGTCATCTCAGCAGTCAAAAGCACTGGCTGCTCTTGCAGAGGTTCCCAGTGCCCACGTGGGAATAGCAGGAGATGCATCGCCCTCTGCTGGCCGCTGTGGGCCTAGCTGTGTGCTCAGTACACTTTTATAAATGTAGGCAAACACTCATACATATAAAATAAAAATGAATAAAATGTTTAAATAATGGTCAACACCTCACTCTCAGGAACCATCGTGGAGAATCTGTAATTTGCAGAGCTCATTAGCCGCACAACTTTTTACGGGAAGGCCTAGAATGTCGAAGAGAATGTGACATCTTGGACTGGAGAGATGGCTCAGCAGCTAAGAGCACTTTCTGCTCCTGTAGAGAACTGGAGTTCTATGCCCACCTCACGGCTAGCCCTGCCTCCAGCTCCCTGGGACCTGTCCCTGCACTCCCGTGTATGCCCTCGTGCATATACATAATTTAAAGTAGTTTAAAACTCAATCTATTTTTTAAAAGGCATGTGATGTCTTATGCTTAAATGACAGTTAATCCAGAAGATGTTTTTAGTTGACAT